ACCCTGTTGCGTGCGCAATATTCGCATGTCCGTGTCTCGGCCTCGCTCTGGCTGTCGAAGTGGAGAGAGAGGCGGTCTAGCGCCGCTGTGATGGCGCTCGCTGCACCACCGCGTTTCCCATGGCACTACTCGCCACTCGCGCCTGCGCTGTCTGCCCGCCTGCACAGTATGAGACTGCCCACTGCGACGATGCCCGGCGCCGCGCGCGGCTCGAGCACACTCCTGCTCGCGAGCGCGATGCTGCTCTTCTCCGGCCTCATGCAGCTCGCGACCACCTGGCTGCAGACGCGCGCCTCCCCGTCCGCAGACTGCACATGCCCCTCTAGCAGTTCTACCTCGAGTGCTCCCAGCTCTCCAAACTCCCCGGTGCAGAACTGGGAAGACGCCTACAGTACGTGCCTGCCCATCTCACCCGCGCATCGCTCACAGCCGACGCACTGCCGCAGCGTGGGACGGCGCGGACTTCCCCGCGTACCTCCCGCTCGACCTCGGGCCGCCCGTCGCGCTCACGCTCGAGGACTCGCGGCACTACGCGCTCGCGACGCCCGACGCGCCCGCCGAGTACCGCTCGCTGTACCCCGGCGACGGGCTCGGGTTCGTCCGCCTCGGCCCGCAGCGCCGCTTCTTCAGCCTCGCGATGTACCACCAGATGCACTGCGTGGACTCGCTGCGCGAGGCGGTCCTCGGGGGGCATCATATGCGTACGGAGAGGGAGGAGGGAGGGGAGAGGAGGAAGCGCGACGTGGAGCACTCGGCGCACTGCCTGAACTACCTCCGGCAGGGCATCCTCTGCGCGGCGGACATGACGCTCGAGCCGGAGGTCGTGCGCGGGTCGGAGGACGTCGGCGAGGGGCTCGGCGCGACGCATGTGTGCCGCGATTGGAGCAAGGTGTACGAATTTGCGGAGAGGAATTGGAGGGAGTGGGTAGAGTGGCGGGACGCGCAGGGCGGGCAGAACGGGACGCGGGCGTGATTGTGATGCGGGATAGTGGTAGAGGAAGAGTAGATTGGAGAGCAGTGCTAGCGTGCGCGGAGCTCTGTTGAACCCTGGGGCGCATACATAAGTAGATCATTTAGGTCGTTAGACGTGTCAGGCGAATCCCTACGACCACATAATGCATCAGTCAAGCCATCGCAGCGAGAGAGGATCCACCCACCGAGTAGTGGCTCCCCATCCGCATCCTCATACTCCACCCTACACCCCTTGCTCGCACACGCCAGCTCGACAAGCATCGTCCCGCCCTGCGTGCACTCAAACGCCTCCGCCGTGCCGTTCGCCCCGAACACTGCCGGCACCGCACCGAGCAGTGTCTGAGGCTCGGGGCTCGTGTTCCACGTCATGCTTGCGAGATCCAGCGGGTCCAGGACAGCGAGCGACGTAATGAGAATGAGCGGCGCGACACCGGGTACACTGTCGCTCTCTATCGTCAGGAGTTTGTCCGCGAGGTCCTTGCGCGCGGGGAACGTGTAAGAGAACGCGCAGGAGCTCGAGCCTGAGCTCGGGAGGCGATCGAAGAGCAGCAACGCGCGGTCCTGTCGAGATGTTAGGCCGTGCCCTGCAGCGACGACATGCGTATACTCATACGCACCTCCTCCGTGAGTAGCACCCAGCCATCTTCAGGGTATCGCGCATTCGGATGCCTCGAATTCACCCGCGCAATCGCACTTGCTCTCAGCGCGCCGCCCGCCGGGCGCACCGTCGGCCGCGCCGGCTCCGCCGCACTCGTCGAATGCCCCTGCATGCGCAGCGCCTCGATCTGCATCTGCACCTTGATCTCCGGGACGCGCTCAAGGCCCTGGTACAGGCTCGGGCGGCGCAGCGTCGCGGCGTCGACGACCCCCACGCGGTCCGTGCGCGCGCCGGTGCTAGTGCTGGCTGCATGCGGCTCTTGCAGGTGCGCACCGGCGGTGCGCGCGGACGAGGACGAGAAGAGGACGGCGTTCCAGGCGAGGCTGAGGAGCGAGACGAGGCACGCGGCGACGAGCAGGGCGCGCTCGATCGTCGGCTCGCGTGTCGATGGTGGCGCGCGCCGCGGCTGCGGCTGGCTTGCGCCCCAGGCGGGGTCGTCGTGGGAGTCGACGAGCGGGATTGCCTCGGGCTCTAGGCGTTCGTACGACATGGTTTGCGGAGAATCAGAGGTGCGTAGGGACCGACGGAGTACACGGCAGCCTCGGTTATAGACGCCGTACAAAGTCCGAGATCTCTCAACAGCCAAGGTCAATGGGCGCAACTAGTAGTCTTACACTGCTGCAGCCTTCCTCATGGGCCTCACCTCTTCAACACTATTTTTTTTCTTTTTCGAAGAGCATATGCGACCGCCCGCAGTCTGACATGGTACGCGGTGCTACTTGGAGCGATGAGCATTGAGCACCCGCAGGGCTTGCCAGGACGGTTACTCTTCCGGAGTGTGCCAGTGTGATAGCTGCCGGTGTGGGGTTCACCATTCGGTGAAGTATCATCGCTACCCGTGATCCTGATCTTTGGCTATACCCACTAAACCCCCAAGACTCGATATCGAATCCGGGGGCCACTCCACGTGCTTTGTATCTCCTGGTCAAGGGCCAGTTTGCCAAATTGGCTGTGATATTAATCTGTCTAAGGTGAGACGCTGGTTAATCTTCGCGGCCCACAGTGCTAATGGTTTTAACCTCCCAAGGCATCGCCTTCCAAGCTGCACGCCATGTCCCACTCAAAAATGAACCATTGTTGTTTAATGACCGAGACAGGTGTCGAGACATCTCCGTCCTTGAAGTTGCTGCGGCCATATCGGCTGTGCAAGGCGGTCCCATGTCCGTCCTACTTGGCATTTATAACAGAGATATGCCTCGTGACAATCTTTCGTGTTGCTGAGATTGCCTACATCGTTCGTCCCCACCCTCGCGGTTCACCTACCGCTACTGACAACCCAGCCGCATTCGCAGCCTGCTCGCAGCACCCTAGAAAACCCTTGAGGTAGATACGGACGCAGCCCCGAAGGCACACGACATCATCGGGCAGCACGCTCCTCAATTCATACACATGGCGTCTGCCCGCCCACGTCCCTCTTTTCGAAGGACATCTCAGGCTCATCGCTTGGCCGGGTGCGCCATCGTGATGAGGTTGAAGGAGCCAGAAAGAACGGAAGGTATCTTGGATAGCTTACCACGGTGAGCTGCTCGTTCTCGGAATCTTGGGGCTATCGTCATTGTGACACTGCTGCACAATCGTGAACAGTGGAATCAACACAACCAATGTAACGATGAATCCCGGAGGCCTGCCTCCGGAGATCTGGTACACCATTATGGATTACATTGATGATGGCAGAATGTTATTCACTTGTGCTTTTACCTGTAAGCTTTTGGCAGCTCGAGCTATGAAGATGACGAAACCGCTGCGGATGTGTCGCACGCCCCAAATGCTGTTTAACGACCTAATCCGACGCCCTATCGTTGGTCATTTCTTGCGGGAGGTGATTGTTCCCCCTGCATTGCTGCCCAGACTCATGTACGAGTGCGCGGGGAAATTACATGCTTTGCGGATAATCCGAATATATGGCACCTCAAAGTGGCCCTGCAAAGAATCACTGATGCGCCATCGTCCTCCTTACCTCGCCTTTGCATCCACTTTCTACACTGTAACAGAGCTCCGCCTCTCTTGCATCAAATTATGGAGCTCTCGCGATTTTCTTCGGCTCGTCTGTGCCTTCCCGAGTCTGCGGGCGCTGTCGTCCTTTGATGTATCGTGGGACAGGGACGAAGGACGCACCTTGGCTGAAGAGCCGTTTGCAAAAGCTCTATGTTTGCAAAAGATCGAGGTGCGCCTGCTGGCGGCCACCTTGAGACGTGATATATTGTACTTACCGCTGCAACAGATATCCGACCGGGAGAACATATCGCCGTACAAGTGCTTGTTGTCAGCACCAGAGCTATTGCAAAGCATCAAATACGTCGAATTCAGCAAGGGTGGCAGGTCAAATTGGTCGGTGGAGCTGACGCTCCAAGAGACATCTCCATTGGGTGAGACTCCTGTCTGCCACCATCCAAGCCGCAAGGCGCATGCAGTCGTCCGAGACAAGTACGGCTCACGAGGACCTCCTGTGGAGTGGTTGCGCGGTTCATTCGACCTCCTGGATGTCTTTTTAATTTCACCGAGTGTGTCCTGCGTGGACATCGACGTCGAGATGAAGATACCCGACGAAGCGCTGCTCAACGTTCTCCGCACGGATCCGTTCCCGTTCCCCGCGCTCAGAGCGCGGGGAGTGCTTCAGGTCACAGCCTTCAGCGGTCTGGATATAAAGACTCTGGAATGGGGTTGCACGGATATATTTATTCGGCGGAGGCAGGTGGAGGACTAGGCGCTACGCCCCTTTGTGCTGTTTGCTCTCCTCCTGGCATACGATGATTGACCCTCATCCAATATGTACTTCAAGGCCCGCTGTTGTATAATGCGCTTTTTTTCGTTCTGGTCATTTCCTTCGACTTGCCTCTTTTGCCCATCTGGACTTGACAGTTGTCTTGCCCTGAAGGCCTGAACTCCCGGCGAACCTCTCGTATATTGTGTGAATTTTGTTATTGCACGCCGGAATTAGATAGATGTGTACTTGCTACTTTGCCGCCCACAATGAAATAGACCTGGTGGCAAAAGGGGGGTTATTGCTTGCACTTCAACCTGCACAATTCTGTCGGCTCGAGCCATAAAGATGACGAAACCACTAGTCCGGATGTAACGCCGCTCTGGCAGCCTTACGCGCCTAATTTCCTTTCTAATACGGACCTTCCATATTTAGCTCTTACGATACTATTCTCGGACGGACTCTTAGCTATGACACATATTATGTCCCTTCGGTCAGGCTTCTCTCCATTTGCATATATACCTAGGATGTCCGTCTCTCTATTTTCTTCCTCCCACAGCCCTATTGTCCTACATGCAATCCCAGTCTTTGTGTCAGTTCTGGTGCCAAGTGTTTGCGAGATCCCTCTAGCGTTCCACCGGAGCTGTTATGCTAAATTGTCAAAAACGTTGGACGCTAAGGGGTTTGAACCCTTGACCTTATGCATATTACGTGCCACGTGCAAAGCATACGCGCTACCGCTGCGCCAAGCGCCCATATTGAATACTGTAGGCAATCATAATATGTACGCGCTCCTCACTGTGCTACTTGCTTGCTCAGCACTTGCCGCAACCGCCGATCCACACTGGGATAGTGGACTTTCCATCTGCGCCTCCGCCAACGGCATCCAGCTTGTCCAGGATGTCCCAACCCTCCTGCAGCTCGCCAAACACGACATACTTCCCGTTCATCTTCGCGAGCTTGACCTCGTCGTTCGTGAGCACGACGAAGAACTGCGACGAGTTCGTGTTCTTGCCCGAATTCGCCATCGCAAGCGCGCCCCGCTTCATCTTCTTCTTCAGTCCCTCCTTTTCGTCGTTAAATTTCCCGCCATAGACGGACTGTCTCATATCGAACACGCGTAAAGTGTTCAGATACAAATCTGCTCTGTGTAAGGTGGTGAGACATGGAACGCACCTCGCCCCCACTCCCGTCGCCCCGTGTCACGTCCCCGCCCTGCGCGACGAAGCCCTTGACGATCCGGTGCATTGAGCAATCCAAATAATGCAGCCTCTTATTTGGCGCATTCTTGCACGCGCCCCGCTCGCCCGTGCATAAGGCGGCGAAATTCGCCACCGTCTTCGCGAGCCCAGCCGCTGGGTCTAATTCAAACACAAGCCGCCCGAGCAGCAGCGGCGGGGGTGGGGCGAAGCGCATCTCCAGGGTACTCTAGGTAATCATTAGTATAAAATTCGATTGGGGCTGGGAGGAGGGTGAGACGCACATCGAGCTCCTGTAGGATCTCGCGCTGCTCGTCCGAGAGCGCGGACGGCTCGGAAGCAAGACCGTAGATCGCGGCATTCTTTGCCAGGAGCGCAACAGTGGCAGCGTATGCGGCCGACTCGCGTGTGTGCTCATCCTTGTCGCCGGCATAAATGTCGAGGTAGACGGAATATGCCATACTGAAGAGAGCTGGCGGAAGCAAGTGCTCAAGCGCTCACTAGCAGGCGCTCAGGTGGGCAGCGGATGCAAGCGCCCGAGTATCCTGCGCAGTGCGTATGCAGCCTGAGTGAAATCTGCACCAAAACTCTCGGACATGTTTGTATTGACTGCGTACATCCCTAATCAGTGTGTAAGTTTACCGGCGATGGATCATCCAGGCGGACACTACCAGACATCGCTCCGACGTCCCGAGGCTGCTAAGACACCGCTACGTCCCTGCTTTCCATCAGCGAAGACACCCCTTCTACCATACGGCTCTCGCGCCGGGCTGCCCACGCCATGTCCGGGTCCGGCGAGTCCTCCGCGTACTGGAGCTGCTCGCCGATGTTGTCGACGAACGTGCGGAAGCGAATCGTCGATTGCTCAGGTGCGGCCGAGCGCCCCGCGTCGTCTGGTGGCCCATACGCGACCTGGCGGAGGTTCACGAGGAAATGCGTGATAATTATCGACGTGATCCTGCAGATCTATAGTCTCAGCGCGACCCATATGCACACACCTTGCGAGGCGGATGACCTACGGTGTCTCGAAAACGCCCAGGGAAAACACGAACGTCTGTTTTTCGCGCTGTCGTGAGTCTGGCAAACACTAGGAGAGAAGGATGACCTACATCGGTGGTGACGCCCGCGATGTGGAGGATGTTGAGGACGAGCAGTGCACTGAGAGGGGTAGAGTAATTTCAGATAGCCGATTGAACGCCCAGATGTGACCTACGCAAAGTAGATGGTGCCTATAATGATCACTTATGTTGCAATTAGCATGCACAATGAGCTAGACTCGCACTTGCCGTCTCTGAGGAGCATCGCTGTCAGTGGCGCCTTGACACTACTGCGATCAGCCGCCCTCTTCATGCCAAATGTCTTCGACCAGGTGATGAGCAGCACCAGGATGTCGGCGGCAATAACGCAGAGCCTGGCACTGACTACGACTGCTATGCCTTAAGCGTGAGTACTCTTGTTAGATAGGACAACTTCTCACATCTGCAGAGTGTCAGAAATCTGTATATGCGGTAAACACGATGGCTCACCCGATATCTGCATCCCGAGAGACGGAGAACGTATCTGCACATCGTCCGTCTACGAGCTCGAAACTCGTGAGGGAGAAATTTGTCACCTTGGCAGGACGTGTGTGAGCGGCCCTCAGAATCATGATGCACTTGCATATTGCACTCTCACAGCATTTGTCACAACAGGCACCAGGTTGAGCACGCACACGACGATGGCGAGCAACCAGCCCCCACCGCTGATTGCGTATATCCGGAACGTCGAGAACACTGCATCAGGTGAGCGATGTGAATGGTGCGTTAGAACGAGGTTCCTACCCGTCCAGATGAAGATCCGGACGATGGACATGGCCTCGTTCGTCAGAATGACGCCTTTGCAGCTACAGCGAGGGTGCACAAGCAGACGCTTCAGCATACAGTGCCGGAAGACAATAATAGCTGCAAGACCTCTGTCAGACTCCATGAGCACAAGCCGTCCTAGTACGATCATAATACGTTTGACGCACAGGAATTGCCCGGAACGGAAACAAGCCAAAAAGATCGAGGATCGCCGACGAGAAATTGATCCACCGGTTGAAATAGAAGAGCATAGTCACGCTGTTGAATTTGCGTCCCCATATGAACTCGACTTCGCGGGAAAACGTAGAGAGATGGTCGTAGAGGATGAGCGCTGCAGCACGTCAGGTCATCGCGAATATTGCAGAGCTGTCGATATAGCACATACCGCTGGATGCAACTGTGCAGTAGGCCTCGATCGAGCTGATGAACAGCAAGGCGTCAGAGGGGGGGACCAGTGCATAAGACAGCAGGCATTTACTCCGTTTTCAGCGCAGAGATAATTTGGTTTATACTCTCCGACCCGAGAGACATTGTGGAGATGGCACGCGATTAGTAGGTGGAGATTTACGCAAGGGATAGGGTCGCAAAGAAAACGGGCGCCCTGCCTTAGCTTCATATACCACAGTACGCCTGCTTCAGAATCCAGATCTCCGCGATCACATCGCACACAAAACCCTCGTAGGAGATTGCGGCTCAATCCGGAAGCAGCACCCTCGAGGCGTCCGGCGCGAGCCTGATCCAATCCATCGCGGATCCCAGGCCCAGGCACATGTTTGATGTGCGAACGCCGGTGATGCAGAGGGTCGACGGGGTAGCAAGGGGAACCGAACGGGATAGGGTAAATCAACACGCCGGATGCAAAATTTTGTCTCTCAATTGAGATGGCATGAGTGCGGAATTAGAAAATGTATCGATGTGGAGCAGGATACGCCTCTTGTCCCAGCAGCACAACTTCATCTGATGTGCAGCGCCGCGGTGCACCTCCTGCGCGCTTTATTGGATGATGAACGAGGAACGGTCGACGTGGGAGAGACCTTGAGTCCAGAAATTGCCGTGGAATTGCCGAGGCCCAATGCGGCACCATGAGCTGTGCAATTCATGTAGGGGCCCAGCATATAGAGCGCAAAGAACACCGCGGGTGCCGCCATCGTGAGACCGGTGACAGGCTAGTGTATTTGGCTGCTATGTCAAAGGCCGGAGAACTGCGCAGACCAACTGTCCCGAAAAATGGAGCGCAAAGGGCTGACGTCCCACTTGGCCCTTTATATTTGCGTATCATCAGTGAGAGCACTTCCATAAAATTGCTTTTACTTCTAATCCCATCTTCAGAACCTGATGTCCTTTGACGTCTATGTGATCTTCGCGTGTTGGCTTCGTCCAGCTATCAGCTGGCACCTTATGCGGTCCGGCGGGCACCCGTGGAGAGCTTTGCAGTCAGGCAATCAGGCAACGAGCTTGGTCATTGCAGTCATGTTTCTCTTGTCGCCTGGCCTGAGTCATGAAAGCCGACGCAGCCTGAACGGGAGCTTGCACAACCTCCGGAGAGCAGCACATCTGAGACTGCAGGTCACAGCGAATGCTCATGTTACAGAACTGAGCAGTGTTGCGCAACATCGACGAGCAGCGTATAGTCCTATCACAAAGGATGTTGCAGATTGTCGAACTTGGTGGTAACAGCCAGCTGGGTCACATGTGGTCGAGTGGTATGTGCTAAGCGCTGCGCAACCAAATACGTTGCGGGTTCCTTGTCTTTCAGCGCATGCACACAGTTCGTCTGGACAGCCTGAGACATACTCCCAATGTCATATATCAGGCTACGAGCTTAGTTACGAGTGAACGAACAGCTCACGCCGACGAAACTACTTTAGCCAGGGTCAAAGGACATGACTATTGCCTTTCCACTCTGTGAAGGCCGGTTGGGATCACATAGAGATCGTAACACTACTGACATGCAAGCTTTGTCCTGATAATACCTAAAACTATCTCTACGTAGGATATGAGTGAGCACAATACATGAGTCCGAATGTCTGAATAAGAGAGTGCGATATGAGAGACTGTCCAGTATGCACGAATCCAGGAGAACCTGAGTCCAAGAGATCGATCACCTTAATTCATCCCACAGGTCTAACCCGCACGGCTAAGCAGAACTCGATCAATAGCGTCGTTGATGGCCTTCTTGCGCGCAGAAAGGTCCATGCCGAAGTGTTGTTCCAGTCTGCTGCGAATCTCCCTCTTCGTTGTCGTGGTGAGGTCCGCATCGCGCAGGATGTTGTCGACCGCTTGCTCGATCTCCGCCTCGGACGGGCCACCATAGAAGTCAACATTGTCAGGGCTGCCTGTCATCGGGATCTGCACATCAATATAGCTGGTGGTAGGTCTCGACGGCGTTGGTTGATGGAGCATTCCCGAACCGAGAGCACTTGCGTGAATCGAGACTGGAGTAGCGCGCCCGGATTGATAACCCGGCGGACCTGTCTGGTAGCCTGGCGGTGGGTACATGCCTCCCATCTGAGATGGCGACGGCGAGTATACCCGAGACATAGCAGGTTCATAGTATGTCTCGCGCCCATAGAGCGAGGCCGTGTGCGACTCGGCGTAACCGTCGTTGCGCATCTTCGTTGGTGGCACCCAGGAGCCAATGCTATGGTTCGACTCTTTGTCCCACAACTCGTTTTCCTGTCATGCGGACAGTTAGCGCGGCCCAATCTGACAAAT